CAGCCAGACTCACTCACCTTTCCAACCGCTCCGTCTCCGCCACCCCCCTCTGCCAATCCCTCCACTGGCTTCCGATTGCCCAACGGATCAAATTCAAAATCCTAACACTGACGTACAAAGCTGTCCATAACACTGCCCCAAACTACATCACCGACCTAATATCCAAATACAACCCACAACGCACCCTGCGCTCCTCACAAGACCTCCTTCTCTCTAGTTCCTTAGTCTCCTCCACCCATGCCCGCCTCCAGGACTTCTCCAGTGCGTCACCCATACTCTGGAACTCCCTACCCCAATCCATCAGACTATCACCTACTCTCCTCTCCTTTAGGCGCACCCTGAAAACACACCTCTTCAGGGAAGCCTACCCCACCCCCTGCTAATTCCCAACCTCCTCCACTCTTCCTACCACTCCATCCCCACAGCTATTTCCTCCCGTACCACTATCCCCTCCCTCCTAGATTGTAAGCTCCAAGGAGCAGGGCCCTCGAACCCCTCGTGTATCGCATTGTATTGTTATTGTACTGTTGCATGTTCTGTCTCCCATTGTAATGTACAGCGCTGAGCGAACTCTTGGCGCTTTATAAATACTGTATTATAATAATAATAAAAGTGTTTTCAGCCTATTTCATTACCTATGTTAAAGCTAATCTCCGGGCAAAAAAAAAACTTTCCAGATTAACTGCTCCTTTTTTGTTTTGAGGAGATATACTTACCTAATCCTGTAATCCTCCCAGTACAAGACTGGTCCGGCACCTCCATACTCCGGCAGTCTTGAGTTGTGGACTGTTCCTGACATCATCAAACCCAGAGCAGTCTCCATTGACCAGGAATGGTCCACCACTGGACTGTGGGGAGCACTGTTTTTTGGTTGAATGAAGGCTCGGCCAAGTATAAGCTTTCTCCTCACCCCTAGACAAAACAAACAATTGTGAGCATGTGTCAAAAAGACATAAACAATTATATAACTAATATACAAGCACATATATACCCTTCACCTTGCACCAATAAAAATACAATGTTGTCTTCTAACACACTAGCATTCGGACGCCACACAGGTCATGTAATAAGTCATGGCAGCCTTAAAATGATTCTAAATGTTGTAATTTAAAAACAAACAAACATGTTATACTTACCTGCTCTGTGCAATGGTTTTGCACACAGCAGCCCCGATCCTCTTCTTTTTGGGTCCCTGCTGGTGATCTGGGCTCCTCCCCTCTGCCAAGTGCCCCCAATAGCAAGCCCCTTGTTATGGGGGCACTCGATTGGGCTTGCTCCCGAGCTGCATTCCAGTGAATGGACATTGTCCAATTACACACAGAGCATGGCTAGGGCCTGCCTCCCACTCTTTCCTCATTGGGTCACTGGCTGTGATTGACAGCAGCAGGAGCCAATAGCTCCTGCTGCTGTGTGAGCCAGTGAGGAGAGAGAGACCCAGGAGAGCTGCGGCTCTCATGCACATCGATGGATCGAGATGGGGCTCAGGTAAGTATAAGGGGGGAACTGCACCCAGAAGGTTTTCTACCTTAATGCATAGAACGCGTTAAAGTTAAAAACCTTCTGCCTTTAGAACCACTTTAATATGACAATTCCTGCCAATTAATCAAATTATGCAAGATCTCAGTTGGTTCATGGAAAACAATGCGCTGTTTGTCTGGTTGATATTGAATCTTAACGCCTGTTGAGAGCAGAGAATGAATTTCCAGAGCTTTCTACTAGTGGTTCATCTACAAATCTCTATTATTAACAATGTTACAAAAGAGCAAACATTTTAAAATGGATATACTTTTCCTTAAGTATACCTGTGCCTGAGACATGGCAGAAGGTGTAATTTTGTGGATAGACCACATTTCCTTGACTCATGTAGCTTGTCAGATCACTAGAAAGACCAAAGAGAAACGTGCAGTAATGATTAAATTTGTTGGAACAAAATCCTTCATACTGGTTAGATGGCGAATGAGACCTGTTCACATCACTCTGCTGGCCTATTGCTGATGATGTGTCTTTGACCGCTAAGACACTAAAACAGCTAAAGGAAACACTTGACATATAGGAAGTGGAACTCCAAAAGAGGAACATGTTTCCCAGTACTAAGAAGACTAAACGTATGATAGCTAAAGATGAGCGAAGACCTTTGAGAATCTGAGAGCTGCCATCAGCCAAGATGAAGAGATGGATGAAGACATCAATAGCAGAATAGTCACAACATAAAGTCTAAATATTATATACTATTTTGTACCATGAATAAAGGTGCCCATAAACGTTCGATGACTGTTTTGGGTAGCAAATGAATGCCTAAATTGGCCTCAGACACCGCTGACCTAAGATTGAGAAGTAATCAGACATATTGGAAAAACCTTGTCCATTTGCAAGTGTTTTCCTCTAGGTAAGCCTTTGCCTGAGGTGTCCAACGGCTAAACAAGAATGGGAGTATGGTTGAGGAGGGTTGGATCCTACCTGCACATATGACCACCCTGTAATGTCTATAGTGTATTTTGAAGGGAATAAATAAGAAGACAGAATTGGCTGATTATCATGCTGTTTTGATCCCCCTGCTAACCTAAAGCTGTGTATCATACACTCACAAGCCACTTTATTAGGTACCCAAGCAAGTGGGAGGTCAGCATTGAATTAGAAGCAGAACTTTGAAAAGTGGTAGTGAGCTGGTGTCCAAGCTGAAACCCAGAAGTGATGTTGTATAGGAATTCAAAACTTTTTTTCATTTTGGATAAAGTGGAAAGAGAGAGAGTAGAACACTTGTCAGTTTTTTTTATTTGTGTCTTCATCAGGGAAATAGAACTTTCTATTTGTTCTGGTGTGACCATTATTGCTGAGAGCAAAAGAAAATCCTAAATTTTGCGGGGTTATTAGAACAGGAATAGAAGGGAAATCTTTCAATGGGAACACTAGTTATTATTATTATTATTATTATTATTATTATACAGTATTTATAAAGCGCCAACAGTTCGCTCAGCGCTGTACATTACAATGGGAGACAATACATGAGACAGTACAATAACAATACAATGCGATACACGAGGGGTTCAAGGGCCCTGCTCCTTGGAGCTTACAATCTAGGAGGGAGGGGATAGTGGTACAGGAGGAAATGGCTGTGGGGGATGGAGTGGTAGGAGGAGCTGAGGAGATCTGGTTCTGGTGAATTTTTCCCCTAACTTCCTGTTACAGCTATGGGACAGGAAGTGAAGAGAAGTCTCTTCAGTGGGACACAGGTGGCAAAAAAAACCTCTGGGGAGATCACATGACTGGAACAGAGCACTCTGAGAATAGGTAAGTATAAGCATCTTCCAGGAGAACACAATGGCTCTGCGGGAGGGATTCCCCCATCATTACAGTCAGTGTTGATGGGGGAATCAAGCGATTTTCTTTCCTGCAACCCACGGTTGCAGGAAAGAAAATCACTCCTACTATGGCCAGCTTTAGGCTTACTTAGATCAACCTTGAACATTATTTATTAATTTATTACAGGTACTTATATAGCGCTGTCAATTTACGCAGTGCTTTACATATACATTGTACATTCACATCAGTCCCTAACCCTCAAGGGGCGTACAATCTAAAGTCCCTACTTTACATTCATATATACACATACTAGGGCCAATTTAGACAGGAGCCAATTAACCCACCATCATGTCTTTGGAGTGTGGGAGGAAACCGGAGTATCCAGAGGAAACCCACGCAGGCACAGGGAGAACATCCAGGCAGGTGGTGCCGTGGTTGGGATTCGAACAAACAACCCTAATACTGCCAGGCTTCTCCTCTTTTAAGGAAAAGTACAGTAATGAAAAGATACAGTAACCCTTAACCTCCCTAGCGGTATTCCCGTGTGTAGCTCGGGGTAAAGTTTCTGTACCAAAAGCGGTAACCCCGAGCTACACTCGGGCTTACCATGCGGCGCTGCATAGGGAGTCCCTGCAGAGTTTACCTTGTCCTTCGCTCCCCGCGATGTGTCTCCTGCAGCGTCCCCGGCCATCTCATCCAGCTGATGCCGGCATCCGGCTTCTGTGTTCCGGTCCCTGTGACGTCGGAATGTACGGGCGCCGGCGGGAAATTTGAACATTTTTTAAAAATGTCATTTTTTTTCAAAACGAATTTTACATAGTAAAACATTGCTGTTTCAAACCATTTCACATACATTTTGTCCTTAGTGCTTTGTCCTGTCCCCTGTCTGCATTTTGACTGTTCTTTCTGCCTGAAAACTTAGAAATGTCCATGGCGTCCAAAAAGCGTCCCTTTAGGTCAAAAGCGGGTTTAGATCAGCTAGAGAACAGCGATAGTAAATCAGAAATACTTGCAGAATTGAATGATAATGATTCGTGGAGAAATTCATCATCAGACACTGAAAACAATTTTGCGACTTTGCTCAGTGATGTGCGAACTTGGCGCTATATTTCAAATTTCAGTGTTTTTGGTTTGATTATATTATTGAATTAAATGTATTATTATTATATTATTATTTTTTATGATTATTTATTAAATTATAATTTATGATTTTGTGTTTCAAATTTTATCATACCCGGGATGTTTACTAGACTCTTGTTCGGACAGATTTCAGTGAGTTATTCCTAAATATTACAGCCTACAATAAAAAAAACTACATATTTCCATGCAAAATAATGGTACCGCTTTCAGCACCAAAAATCTGAAATAATCAGACCGCCAGGGAGGTTAACCAATCTAAATGTATTTTATTTGCAAACCTGAAAATGGGAGACAGGCAACCAACCTAGTGTGGTATTTTTTTGAAAATTTTATTAAGTGGCTTAAAAGTAATTGTGGCATTCACAAGAGTCTGGCTGATAAGAGCGTATATGTACAGTACTAGATTAAGTGACTGGGCATTGAGTACAAGTTTCTGTTTCTTCTGATAGGTCTTGTTTGCTCTGCTTTGCATAGGCTTGTATGAAAGATATGCATACTAGAATGGTGTATTGACTGATAAAGAAATCAGATTTTATATTTCTATGTATTGCTTTTTCTAGATTTCCTCTCCAGAGGAACAAGACCCTGTGGCTGTGCAAATGACTCGACTGCAGGATAATGCCCAAAGGGTAAGACTGCCAGGACTATATAGTCAAAAACCAGACAGCATTGGAAACTCATCTAAAATGCCATTACCTTTTTATAAATATTGTCTTTGTCCAATCTGCATCTTCTCTACTGTGGGGAAAACTTCTGAAATAATTTACATCAAAATAGTGTTTTAAAGTTGTGTAGATATAAATGTAAATGTGATCATCTGAGAGGATATGTGAACTTTTACTGTCAAAATTATTATTTAACCCCGCTTAAGGTGAAATGAGCAGCAAGAAACTAAATACAGCCCCTCCTAGCCGTGGTACCATACTTTGATCTCACTTTCTGTGGTTGGCAAAGTGTTTCTGCGGTGTTCATGATCATCATTGCTCCCTGTTATGTCGTAAACTTGGTACCAAGCTGAAGTTGGGACATGTAGGGGTTAATTTACTAAAACTGAAGCATGAAAAATCAGGCTCACTTCTGCATAGAAACCAATCAACTTCCAGGTTTTATTGCCACAGCTTAATTGAACAAGCTGAAGTTAGAAGCTGATTGGTCTCTATGCAGAAGTGAACCTCATTTTGCAATCTCCAGCTTTAGTAAATAAACCTTGTAGTGTCTGTGGCCTCTTCTTACTTCTTTCAATGCAACTGTGTATGGGATTACAGTAGATTTAAAGTGACCTTGTCGTAAAAATTAAATTGCAAAAAAAATGTTTCTTGTAAAAAAACCTTTCAGCTGCCCACACCTCCAAACACCTTCCCATTGAAGAGGAATCTTCTGCTGAAGTCCTTAGAGCAGCATTTCTCAACCAGGATTCCATCAAACTCTAGGTTTTCTCTAGAGGTTTCTAGGGGTTCCTTAAGCAATGAGCAATTTCTGCCTCTCAAGTAAATTAACAATGACACCAGTGAACTTTTTAGCAATATGTAAGGGGGGTTTCCAATGGCCATCAATGTAAGGGGCATTCTTCCCACTGACTACCAATGTAAGGGTCAATTTTCCCACAGACCACTAATGTAAAGAACATTCTTCCCACTGACCACCACACCAATGTACTATGAGTGGTGGCTATAGTAATGTTTGGCAGGGGTTCCCAGTTATTGCAAAGGTTTTTCCATGCGAAAAAGGTTGAGAAATGCTGCTGTAGAGGAACTAATAATTCCAGGAGTTTAATTCTCCAGGTTCTGCCATGAGCCTCCGCATCACTGTAAGAACGACATTCAGCAGCATTTGAAGAAGGAGATTTGAGTGTTTACTCTCTCCTTTTACATGGAACATTTTTTAATTCATTTTCATGACAAGGTCACTTTATATCAAGACAGATTTAAGTATTTATGTTCTGTATTAAAAAAAGAATCCTTCTCATTTTACAAGTATTGCAAGTACCTAGGCTCTTCTACAATTATAGAATCCATGAAGATAGTCTGACCTATCTACTCACAGTGGAGCTGAACTCAAAGTGAAGTGTTCTGTTTTTTAGGGAAAATTTTGAAATGTTAATTGGGCCCAGGCAGTACCCCGGAAAGTACGTTTTGCATAAAATTCCTTTTGAAAAATAGTAGTGCACTTCCTCCTGTCAGCAGGAACCCTTGATTTCCTCTGTTAAAGAGAATGATGCTGATGAGGTTATTTTTCTTCTCCTGCAGTATTACCGCTACGCACTCATCATCACCTTTATGGTCACGGTGCTGTTCTGTCTGATGACTGTTCATCTTCTTTTATTTCCACTGCTCTGTACAAACTCCACAATGGAGATGGAGACCATGACGAACCAAGACCAGGGGTCCAGTGATGCCTGCAAGTAAGTGATTGCTATTTCTACTTGGAAATATGGGTAGTAGAAGATACATTCTGGGTTTAAAATACAATGATGGGTGGCTTTGTGTATTGGACAGTAAATTAGGGGCCTGTCAAACTCCATACATTGTATAGACCTGAAGATGGCGAGTGCTGTAGTAACAGAGCAATGGATGGCTTATAGAGCAATCTAAATGGAAGAGAGCATCACCAGCACACTAAAAGGCCTAATACAAGCCTTTCATTTGTCACTAGGAAAATGTTTTGGAGCCTCACACAAGCTCAACCAGGCAACAGTGAAGTCCTCCATTAACCTGATGAAGGAGCATGTGTGAGGCTCTGACCCCTCTCATTTTAATTATGTCAGTAATTATGGCTTCATCAAATGGTTGTCTTCTGCACACAGACATAGACTCCCTATCTGCGATTAAGCCTCAAAGGGCAAAATGCACCTGAGGAGTTCTCACCAGGTGGAGAACAGAAGCTGAATCCATATTTTACCCATTTCATTACATTTATGCAACAGGGAGTCGGTTTTAGTTACAGTCTACTGGAGCCTGGCAAGTGTAATCTGTCTGCCTTGCACCAGTTTTTTCACATGCTGATCCTACCAACACAGGTTTGGAGGAGAATTTGAGCAGTTATATTTTTAGTGTTTTGGGCTACATAAGTATTTATGGCTGTTTATTGAGCATTTTAGGTGTTCTGGTGACCCTGGTGATGAACACTATGGGTGAGATTTACTAAAACTGGAGCACTCAGAAACTGGTGCAGCTGTGCATAGTAGCCAAGCAGCTTCTAACTTCAGCTTGTTCAATTAAGCTTTGGCAATAAAACCCGAAAGCTGATTGGTTGCTATGCAGAGCTGCAGCCAATTTTGCAGTCTCCAGTTTTAGTAAAAAATCCCCTATAAGTTTGCTATTTTGCTTTTGTAGAAGTTGTTGGGAAAACACCTTAAAATGGAGTTACTAGTTATACCACATTTGTTCTCAAACTATAAAATGTGGTGAAAAATATCACTTTATACTATGTAAATGAATCTGGTGGAGAAATACTCTGCATTTCACAGCAGGCACATGTTTGAACACATAATTTAACACTTTGCTGGATGGGCTAGGAAAGACATGTGTTTTCTGTGTGTATATAATGTGTGTGTTTATTCTCTTTATACTTAGTATGGTTCTTGTGGAGAGCATACCGGAAGGGCTAGTGTATCCTGAAAATTCCACATCCAACCCCTCAGTATTCCAGACATGGCTGAACCTTCTTAATGAGGCCAAGAGCAGTGTGGATATTGCATCGTTCTACTGGACATTGACAAACAATGACACTGGCACCCATCATCCCTCAGCTGAGCAGGTAAAAATCAAAGGCTAAAGTAGATTGGTAATGAAATTTCACACTTCACGTCATTTGGTAAGGTGTATGACAGCAGTATCAAAGAGCTTTGTTTTTGATATTTCAGCCAAAAAAGGGACCCTTTCTTGTTTTATATGACTAACTAGCCAGGGGCGTTGTGGGTGTTTTCTTGCTAGCAGAGACTGCACTTTTTCTTCAGTCAGACCCTTACAGACTGTTAGTAGTAGGAAGATAAGAGAATCAGCAAGGGACATCACTCTGCAGCTTTGGTAATTGGGCTATATAAAAATACAATCACATGTAATAGCAGATATGACTGCCTCTGTATACATATAATTACAAATTATACATAGAAATTAGGTTTTAATACTGTGAACACATACAGTGCATCCAGAAAGTGTTCACAGCGCTTAACTTTTGCCACATTTTGTTATGTTACAGCCTTATTCCAAAATTGATTAAATTTATTTTTTTCCTCAAACATTCTACAAACAAGACCCCATAATGACAACGTGAAAGAAGTTTGTTTTGAAATCTTTGCAATTTATTTAAAATAAAAAAAACCCCCATGTACATAAGTATTCACAGCCTTTGCTCAATACTTTGTTGAAGCACCTTTAGCACCAATTACAGCCTCAAGCCATTTTGAGTATGATGCTACAAGCTTGGCGCACCTATTTTTGGGCAAATTCTCCCATTCTTCTTTGCAACACATCTCAAGCTCCATCAGGTTGGATAGGGAGCGTCAGTGCACAGCCATTTTCAGATCTCTCCAGAGATGTTCAAAGCCCATAGTCACTCCTTTGCTATGTGGGCTGTGTGATTAGGGTCGTTGTCCTGTTGAAAGATAAACCTTTGCCCCAGTCTAAGGTCCAGAGCGCTCTGAAACAGGTTTTCAGCAAGGATGTCTCTGTACATTGCTGCATTTATCTTTCCTTCAATCCTGACTAGTCTCCCAGTTCCTTCCGCTGAAAAACATCCCCACAGCATGATGCTGCCACCACCATGCTTCACTGTAGGGATGGTATTGGCCAGGTGGTGGGTGAGTGGTGCCTGGTTTTCTCCAGACATGACACTTGGCATTCAGGCCAAAGAGTTCAATCTTTGTTTCATCAGACCAGAGAGTTTTGTTTCTCATGGTCTGAGAGTACCTCAGGTACCTTTTTGGCAAACTCTAGGTGGGCTGCCATTTGCCTTTTACTGAGGAGTAGCTTCCGTCTGGCCACTCTACCATACAGGCCTGATTGGTGGAGTGCTGCAGAGATGGTTGTTCTTCTGGAAGGTTCTCCTCTCGCCACAGAGAAATGCTGGAGCCAGGGGCGGACTGACCATTTAGGCACTCGGGCACTGCCCGAGGGCCCAGGGTCAGTAAGGGGCCCCATGAGATGCCCTTGGTACCTTTCATAGGCTTTTTTGGGTGTGGTTTGAGATTGAGCAAGGACACAGGGGCCCATGATTTCCTATTGCCCAGGGGCCCCATGAGTTGTCAGTCCACCCCTGGCTGGTGTGACCATCAGGTGCTTGGTTGCCTCCCTGGCTAAGGACCTTCTCCCTCAATCGCTCATTTTGGCCAGGCGGCCCGCTCTAGGAAGATTCCTGGTGGTTCCAAACTTTATGGATGATGGAGGCCACTGTGCTCATTGGGACCTTCAATGCTGCAGAAATTGTACCCTTCCCCAGATCTGTGCCTGTGATACAATCCTACGGACAATTCCTTGGACTTCATAGCTTGGTTTGCGCTCTGACATGCACTGTTAACTGTGGGACCTTATATAGACAGGTTTATGCCTTTGCTAATCATGTCCAATCAACTGAATTTCCCACAGGTGGACTCCAATCAAGTTGTGGAAACATCTCAAGGATGATGAGTGGGAACAGGAAGCACCAGAGCTGAATTTTCAGTATCATGGCAAAAGTTGTGAATACTTATGTACATGTGTTTTTTTTTGTTTTTTATTTTTACTAAATTGCAAAGATTTCAAAACAAACTTCTTTCACGTTGTCATTATGGGGTATTGTTTGTAGAATGTTGAGGAAAAAAATTAATTTACTCCATTTTGGAATAAGGCTGTAACATAACAAAATGTGGCAAAAGTTAAGCGCTGTGAATACTTTCTGGATGCACTGTATTAATAAGATTATCTTTAAGTCCAATGGCAAGTTCCTTACTCTTAACTGATTCTTTTTAAAAAAAAGAAATGGCTTAATGTAGGTATCCATTAGCCTTGGAGTATCTTAACCTCCCTGACGGTATTCCCGAGTGTAGCTCGGGGTAAACATCCAGTACCAAAAGCGGTAACCCCGAGCTACACTCGGGCTTACCCTGCGGCACTGCTCCGGCAAGTGTTCTTCACTTAACCTTACCCTGCGCTCCCCACGATGTGTCCCCTGCAGCGTCCCCGGCCATCTCCTCCGGCCGATGCCGGCATCCGGCTTCTGTGTCCTGTCCCTGATGACGTCGGGACGTACGGGCGCCGCCGCCGGCGGGAAATTTAAAAATTTTAAAAAAATGTCATTTTTTTTTTTTTACATTTTACACAGTAAAACATTGCTGTTTCAACCTATTTCACATACATATTGTCCCTAGTGCTTTGTCCTGCGCCCTGCCTGCATTTTGTCTGTTCTTTCTGCCTGGAAACTGAGAAATGTCCATGGCGTCCAAAAAGTGTCCCTTTAGGTCAAAAGCGGTTTAGACCAGCTAGAGAACAGCGATAGTAAATCAGAACCACTTGGAGAATTGAGTGATAATGATTCGTGGGGGAAATTCGTCATCAGAAACTGAAAACGATTTTGCGACTGAGCTCAGCGATGTGCGAACTTGGCGCTCTATTTCACATTTCAGTGTTTTTGGTTTGATTATATTATTGAATTATAAATTTTTTATTATTTTTATATTATTTTTATGATTATTTATTAAATTATAATTTATGATTTTGTATTTCAAATTTTATCATACCCGGGATGTTTACTAGACTCTTGTTCGGACAGATTTCAGTGAGTTTTTCTTAAAAATTACAGCCTACAATAAAAAAAAATACATATTTCCATGCAAAAAAATGGTACCGCTTTCAGCACCAAAAATCTGAAATAATCATACCGCCAGGGAGGTTAAAGAAGAACTCCAGGAATTATATTTTTTTTAAACTTACTTTGGTGTTGCTTGGCTCAATGTAAGTATCCATATCTGATATTCAGAGGGCCTCTAGAGTTGCTGAAAAATCACTTTAGTAGTTTGTGCTACATATAGTGAAAGCCATGATCTTCCAGGTGTTGCTTCAGTGGCTTCCCCCTGCACACAGAATATGGAGAGCACTTACTCGGCACTGCTGCCATTTTAGCCCTGGTTCACACTGATGCGGTGCGGCACATCATATGTGATTTACACAGGAATTGCATCACATTCCTGTGCAAATCACATGCAATTTCTGTGTGGTGCAGTTTGAGCCATATATTTTGTATGGCCCAATATATTTTAGTCTACTAAGATGAACTGGAGATTTTAGTTGGATAAAATACGACTAAAACAATTCAGATGATTAAAATACGACTAAAACTAATATGGCATTTCAGTTACAAGACTATGACTAAAACCAAATCAAAATTTGACGTCAAAATTAACACTGCTCACCACCTTATCCAATTAGAGAATGCTTTATATTCATTAAAAAAAACAAGGTGTTCTCTGAATGGTGATGCTAAGCAAGCAACCCTCTGTATTCAGTGTGCAGAAGGGAAGCCATAGGAACAGCACCAGATGATCAAGGCTATCACTGTTTGTAGTGTGGACTACTGTAGTGATTTTCAGCCCCACCAGATATCTGATATGTATACTTACATCAAGCCAAGCTGGACTAATGTAAGTTTACAAAAAGTATAGTTCCTGGAGCTTCACTTTAAGGTACCCCATGGTTAATGTCGACTATCTCAATGACCCTTATGTCCAGAGGTAACTCTACTATTGGAGGTGCCTGATTTGCTTCCCCTGCTATAAGTGAACTTGCACGTTGAGTGTACAATTGGTACATCATGGTTGCAGGTCTGACTGCCAATTACCATCTATGTATAACTTCACTTTAGCTCTGCATTATCAATTGGTCATTTAGGGTTGTTGGCCTGGTACAGGATTGCTAAATTATTCTCTGTCCTGAGGGCTCCTAAGGCTCCTTTCTCAAGGGGCAGACTCTGCCTGGAGTCCGCTTGCTCAGTGGAGATCTGTTCGCTGATCCCCGCTGAGCAAGTGGATAGCTGGTCTGTGTCTGTTCTGCTTATGCAGAGTGAATACAGACAGAGTTCATTCTCTAGACAAGAGGGGAACAGATTCCCATCTGTCTGTTGTATTTAGTGGATCAGAATGGACCATGGCAGATGTAAATGGACATATGTCCATTTACACCTGTCGCCCCATAGAGAAGAGTGGAGGAACCAATTGGGTCTGCCTAAAAAACCTGACAGGTGGACTCGATCGGTTCGCTCACCTGAAAGGGATCTTACATGGAAATGCAGTTGTTTACCTATCGCTGTCTTCACCAAAAACAATGTACTTCTGTCCAACAGGGGGAATTAATCCTGCAAGAGCTTTTGAAAATGAAGCAACGAGGTATTGCCTTGAGAGTGGCAGTCAATCTACCCAGCTCCAACAAGGCCTCTGCTGACATTGATGCTCTGAGGGAAAGTGGTAAGACCCCCATCCTTTCTACATTTAAAGCGAAGCTCCACCCAAAAGGGGAAGTTCAGCTTTTTAAGGCCTCGTCCCCCACTCCCCGTTAAGAATTGGCACCTTTGGGGAGCGGGTACCCAATTTTGACAGGTGCCCTCTCCCAGCTCCACTGCGATCACCTAGGCAATTGTAAGCGGATGTTGTCCTCTTCCCCCTGTATTTTTGTGGGACATATGACAGGTCCCAGAAGACTACGGGACCTTTCACAAGGCACAGAGCTACTTGCGCATGCGCATGCGCATGCGCAGTGGGCACCCGGCTGTGAAGCCGCAAGCCACTTAAGATGCCGGCCCCTGGGAGAGAGGATGACTGATGAAACTGGCTGTGGTGAGCACAGAGCTGGGTCGAGGGACAAGTGAGTGTCTGTTTTTTAAAAGTAAGCAGCTACAGTCTTTGAAAATACATTTAATCTACATTTTTGGAATTCATTTGGAAATATGTTAAAAAAAAATCTGAAGAATATTTTTAAATAGATGCCTTTAGAAAATATATTTACATTTACATTTTTTAGAATACATGTTAAAATATATTAGCATAGGCCAATATATATTAAATATATGTCACATATATAATTTTTTTTTTTAATATATTGGAAATATATTTCTGCTCTATGTGGGAAGTCCCAGGTCCCATACAGTCCCAGGTGTCTGTATACTCAGAGAGAACATTTTATTTCCTTTTAGCCTATTCTCTGATTTTCTTTTCTTTTTTTTTTTTATTCTGTTTTAGGAGCCGAGGTTAGGATTGTTGACTTGCCCCATCTGACGAACGGTGTGCTGCACACAAAATTCTGGGTGGTGGATGGCAAGCACCTGTATATTGGCAGTGCCAACATGGACTGGAGATCATTAACGCAAGTAAGATGCAATAGGGTTGATTACCAAAGGTGTAGAGGCTGCTCACCTAGCAAAGTGAATGTTACATTTTTAAAGCCAATGCTCATAAATAAGGTTAAGTGGCATCACATTAAATACACAATCATATACAAGGAAAATGTAAAATGCCATTTCTTATGCCACATAATTGGCTAATCAAAGTACTTGAGTAAACCAACTTCACTGTCTTCCAATTGCACACTCAAGTGTATTCAGCTTTCTTTTGATTTAGTTAATTGCAGAGTACAAAACTTTATGAGGTTCTGTAATCCACAGTAACCAACCAGAAAATGGATTTTAAAGCTCACCAACACCTTACAATCTGGTTGTACAATCTCCTTTAGAACTACCAACAACTTTGTAGTGCAAGGCCATGCCCGATTGGATGCAGATTGATTGGTTGGTTTACGCAGGTGTTCATATTACATAGTTTTGGTAAAACTAAAGATTTACAAAGATACGGTCAGATTGTAATGTATATAATGACCCTAACAGTTCACTGCAGACAACTAAATGATATTTGATTTTTCTTTTTTAACCTTCCATAGTTCTGAACATGTATATGTCCTCTGTACATGGTTGCAGTGAACCATTTTAGAAAAAAAAAATCAGTATTGCTGGTTTTAAACATTTTCTAGACAATTATTTTTTCTATTATGTCAATCATAAAGTTAGATTTAGTTATCCATCATAGTTATTAGTTTTAGAGCATAAAAATAGTTGCAATTCCTGACCATGATGGAAAGTGTTCTGGGCAAGAAAGATTAAAACAAGTTTTGCGTCTCAAGAAGGTTTATTGAGTTTTAAAGATCTCTTACAATAATAACTCAACAATAAAACTTCAAAAATACAATCGCCGAAGATAGCAAAAAAATAAGCCAGGGGAGAGAAACCTCTGGCTATGCTCAGTAATTGCGCAGCAGAAAAAAACAAAGAGAAGTGACCGGAACCGTAAATCCGAGTTCTTCGCTAAGGCCTATACACTCTCTGGCCTCTTTGTTAGGTACACCTGTTCAATTTCTTGGTAACACAAATTGCTAATCAGCCAATATTAGCTCCTTCAATTTTTATATCAAAAAGTTTGTCAAGCTGGGAGGTGTGGATAGGGGCTTGAATTTGCTCTCGCTTCACATGCCCTTACCCCATCCAAGTTCGAAAATCCCTAATTCATCAAAAAAAGCTCAATTGAATATTTGAGCTGTGTATGGCCAGCAATTATGAGAGCTCTTGTCTTTCTCATGGAAATGAAAGGCTAAGATCATCTGAAGGGGGTAGTTCTAAAAGTAGACCTGAAGTAATGGGGCCCCATAGTTCACCACCCAAACTAACTGTACAGCTTTAAAAAAAATTCCTTGAATACTTGTCATTTGTGTTAGCCCCCCCCCCCTAGTTTTTTAGGGGGGAGTCTAGCCTCAATTGTCAGTCAGGAGGGCCTGATTACAGCCTGGGTGTGAAAGTATGCAGTTGGTAAAATTTGGTTATCTGAAGACCATGCTTTCTGGAAGGTTGGCACCCCTGTTGTAGAACTTTGGAGAAAGGTTTGTGAAGCAATGGTTTGAGGAGTGGCTGATCTGATATTAGAGGACCTTACTGCAATCATACAATTGGCTTTTGGTCAGGACCCTTGTTAACTGAGCCTGCCTTCTGTACCTTCTTATTTTTTTTAATAAAGCTCTTTTGGCACCAGAAAGGAAGGCTTAAAAAGGAACCCCTAAGATAATGTTAGCTGGAAGCAGGAGCTGTGAGGGGGCCTTATAAAGGGGGGCTCACTAGAGGCGGAGGACCTTGGAAGTACTTGAGACTCACTGGCCCCCTGAGAGACATTCATCTAGTGAAGCAGGGAACTCCAGATTGCATATCTAAAAGGCCTGACTGGAAGTAGATCATCTCCTCCTGCTCCTACAGCAGTATTTTCAGAAGAGGTTACCAAAAACAGTCTGTGTATTCTGTCAGCACAGGTCTCTTTAATCAGCTGTGATACATAATGACCCCTATTTTATTTCCCTTTTCTGAAACCTCTATGTACCTGGCTGTCATGCCGATCCTATAGCTTCAACACTTTTCGCATCAGTGATATGAAAAAGTATGCAGACAAGAACTTAATCCAGATTTTACTTCCTGCATGCTTGTTCTGATGCTCGAGACAGTCAGATAATTAGAATTTTCACAGTTAAGCAGTAGCAGCCCATAGGTTTCCTCTAACTGTTCTCTGAAGAGCCACGAATTTGTGCAGTAGCACGTTTTAGATCCAGTTGGTAGAATGTCTAAAACCTGCTCTAGAGTATATGACGTCCCAGTGGTTGTGGGATGGATTTTGATGATATATCAATTTGTTACAGGTCAAGGAATTGGGATCGGCTGTCTATAACTGCAGCTGTCTAGCCCAAGATTTGGAGAAAATTTTCGATGCCTACTGGACACTGGGTACGTCCAATGCCACCATTCCTTCTCCATGGCCGGACAAGTTTTCCACCATCTACAATAAGGACACACCTATGGAAATGATTGTGAACAATACACAGACTCTTGTCTATCTCTCTGTAAGTGATGTCGTTTTACTCTCTTTGCTTGAGTTTTGATCCATATGGTTCACATAGGCCTTTTCCCTGCAACAAAGTGTTTGGTCTTGTAGTGTGTGTGTGATGAGTAGTATTCTCCGGTTGCAATGTTTTCTACCCACTTTTTCTAGTGACTCCTTTAGACAAAAGACTTTGTGGGTGGTAGGCATGTACTAGACCTTACTTTCTACCTCCTTGGCTGCCGCTTTGTTTTCTAACATGCCCCGTATTAGGGCCATAAAAGTACTAATTTCAGTGTAACAAAGCGGAATTATGATGATTTGATTAGTTACTGTAAATATTGGATGCAGGTATTTTCCCTTCGGTTGCATAAAATGTGCTTCTTGCGCTTTAAGGATGGAAATGATAGCAAAGCTACAGCAGCAGTAATCTTGGATGACCTCAGCCGATGTTTTTTTTTTATTTTAAATAACTTGGTCCTCACTTAGGTTTTTCTTCTTCTGGAGGTTACAGTGTGCCCACAGGCTTTCATATCCTGTAACATGGCAGGCTAACAGCCTGTGTTGTCAGTCTTTTGTTTTCCCATGTACGTTCAACCATGCTGCTCTATGTATTAGTGCGGGTCAGTAAATGAAGTTTGAGAAGTATCCTCATTAGGTCTAGGAGAGCCCTATTTCCAGATAGCACGTGGTCCTTTTGGCATTGCCTTTTGAGGGCTCCTCCCCCTTTGTCAAGGCTTATTGGCCCAACTGGTATAATGACTAATATAGAGACTGGGGATGTCAGTGAGTCCCATATAGGGTGTAGTATGTGCTACATAAATACAAAATGCCTGGTACAGAATGAAGGACACAGTTTGCCCCGTAAGGGCAGCTCTACTGCAGGTAAAAGTGGGCTGCCAGATGTCGCCATCTCCTGCTCTGTCTCTACATTGTGCATTAAAGTTTATTTATATGAGGTTAATGTGCCCTTTGTTCTTGTTTTGTGCAGTCGGTGGGAGGGGGGCATGTAAGCTCAGGCACTTGTACAGCAGAGGAGAAGGTGCACTGAGCTCCACAATAGGACCACAAATCAGGCTTCTAGCAGGGGAGGAGCTGACAGGCAGGAATGGCAGAGATAAGGAATTGATATGTACTACACAATCATTCAGCTTTTCATTTGACACGCAGAGATGAGTATTTAAACATGAATATATAGACCAGCTGAACCCCAGGTATGATCTTTATTGCATACTTACATTGATCCAGTATAGCATAATGTAAATATACATATCTCATACCAGGGGTGGACTGACAACTCATGGGGCCCCCGGGCAATAGGGGATCATGGGGCCCCTGTGTCCTTGCCCAAACTCAAAAAAGCCTATGAAAAAGGTACCAGGGGCATCTCATGGAGCCCCCTACTGACCCCGGGCCCTCAAGCAGTGCCCGTGTTTCCAAATGGTCAGTCCGCCCCTGTCTCATACCTGAGGGGCCACTGGAGAAGCTGACAATCACTGTAGTCAGCGCTACTACAGTGAAAGCCACAATCGTCCAGGTCCTCATGAGCTTCCTGTCTGCACACAAACCACAGGGGGTCACATGTTTGGCACTACTACAAGTCATAGAACACCTTGTATTATTTCTTGCATTCTGATTGAACAAGGTGGAGAGGAGAGATGGAGACATCACAATCTCCACCTTGTCCAATTAGAGAACGCTTTGTAGTTATTGAAAAAAATTCTAGGTGTTCTATGAATAGTGGCAGTGCAACAATGCCCTTTGGTCAGTGTGCAGTGGGGCAGCTCTTCACACAGGACCCAGAAGATTGCACTGATCATTGTAGTAGCACCAACTACTACAGTAATTGTCAGCTTCTGAAGCAACCCCTCGGGTGTGAGATATGCACACTTACATTGTGCCAAGCTGGACCAACATAAGTATGCAATACAGATCATATCTGGAATTCAGCTTTAAAGTTTTTATTGGACAGGAGATTTCTTCATTGACCTGGAGTAGGCATACAACATGTGAAGTCAGGGCACAGGTCTAGAGCCAGGCCCAGTGATTTCAAAAAGGAGCAATAGGAGCATCCTATTTTTCATAGGAATGCTGACATTAAAGTAGAGACTTTTCCTAAGTACCCTAAATAAAGGGTGAAACAGTGAGAGATGCTTACTTTTCCTATCCAGTTCCTTTAACCCCCACCCTATAGAAGAAGTACTGCTACATGGCGGCACAGCTGCACAAAATCACATGTATATATACATGTGATTTGCATTTCCAGGTAGGGTGCACCACTATTAGCTGCTGGGGATGGCAATCACCGGATCACGGCTGGCGATTCCTGGTAGGGCTTGGTGATCGCAGGGCTGAATGGGGAGAGATCTGTGTGTAATCAACACAGATCTCTCTCCTGTCAGCATGGACATGCTGCTTTGTATCTCTCTGCACAGCATGTCTCCCAAGTAAAACGCACACAGCACACAGTTAACACTTTGATCGCCCCAGATGTTAACCCCTTCCTGCCCAGTGTTATTAGCACAGTGTCAGTGCTTTTTATTAGCACTGATCACTGTATTAGTGTCAATGGGGATGTCAGTGGCAGTTAGTTCCCACCCAGTGTCAGAATGCCCGCTGCAGTCCCACAGTCCCGCTAGAAGTCGTTGATCGCCGCCATTACTAGTATAAAAAAAATAAAAATAAAAATTTCAGTATATATACCGGCATTTGTAGATGCTATAATTTTCACATAAATAAATTAATATACACTTTTTGGGATATTTTTTTTAGCAAAGACATATAGCAGAATACATTTTGGCCTAAATTTATGACGAAATTTGATTTTTACTTTTTTTTATTGGATATGTTTTAGAGCAAAAAGTAAAAAATATTGGTTTTTTTTGTTCACAATTTTCGGTCTTTTTTTGATTATAAAAAAAAAAAAAAAACGCAGAGGTTATCAAATACCACCAAAAGAAAGCTCTATTTGTGAGAACAGCGTTGCATGACCACACAATTGTCAGTTAAAGTAACGTGGTGCTCTATTGCAAAATATGGCCTGATCATGAAGGGGGGTAAATCCTCTGGAGGGCAAGTGTAAGGGCTGCCAGTTTAATCTAAAAGACCACACTTATCTATCTTCCTGCCAGAGCTCCCCTCCCCAACTTTCTGCGAAAGGAAGGACGGAAGACATTGATGCCATTTTGAGTGTTATAGATGATGCCAAGAGATTTGTCTACATCTCTGTTATGGATTATACCCCCACGGAGGAGTTTGCTGAACCCAAGAGGTAATATTGTCTTCATAACGTTTTTTAATGCTACACAGTTTATACAACATAAAGGTACAGACCCGCCAAACCTGAACATTCAGAATACTAGAGTGCCAGCCAACCTGACTTTTCTTTACCTGATATCCTGGCAAAGACTAAGTGCCAGCCATCCTGTTGTGTAAAATCGCCTGGCCACTGGGAACACATAATCCTGAGCTTGCAATTCTGTAGGCCAGCGATTTCCACCCCCATACATTTGAATACAGTAATTGTATACACGTGCTGAGAACTCTGTGCAAATTATGCTGTACAGCCCTTCCAAAGAGAAATTATTCACATCATTGCAGGCTTCTGGAAGTATTACACAAGGTGTAGTTCTGATAGTAGGCTATTGCACAAAATGACATAGGATGCAGTCCTGTTCAGAAACACTCTCAAAGTATTTTTATTTGGCTGTAAGGACGAATGGAAATCATATGAAACTCAGAACAAAGGTGTTGATTACATATTTTCTTAGCATGTTCTAAAAATATTTCAGAAGGGTGTTTCTGAAATATGAAATACACTGCTCAAAAAAATTGAGGAACACTTTGAAAACAGATCAGATCTCAATGGGGAAAAATCTCCTGCTGGATATCTATACTGATACGGACTGGTAATGTGTTAGGAACATAAGGACTCCCCATCGTTTGATGGAAATGAAAATGATCGACCTACAGAGGACTGAATTCAAAGACACCCCGAAAATCAAAGTGAAAAAATGATGCAGCAGGCTAGTCCATTTTGCTGAAATTTCATTGCAGCAACTCAAAATGGTTCTCCAGTAGTTTGTATGGCCCGTACGTGTTTGTATGCATGTCTGACAATGTCGGGGCACGCTCTTAATGAGATGATGGATGGTGTCCTGGGGTATTTCCTCCCAGGTCTGGACCAGGGCATCACTGAGCTCCTGGACAGTCTGAGGTGCAACCTGGCGGCGCTGGATAGACTGAAACGTGATATCCCGGAGGTGTTCTATTGGATTTAGGTCAGGCGAGCGTGGGAGCCATCAATAGTGACAATTCAGTCATCCTCCAGGAACTGCCATTGTCTGACCCCAATTGCCAGTGCCATTGTCTATCCTCCATGGATATGCCTCCCCAGACCATCACTGACCCACCACCAAAACGGTCTTGCTGAACTATGTTACAGGCAGCATAACGTTCTCCATGGCTTCTCCAGACCCTTTCATGTCTGTCACATGTACTCAGGGTGAACCTGCTCTCATCTGTGAAAAGCACATGGCGCCAGTGGTGGACCTGCCAATTCTGGTGTTCAATGACAAATGCCAATTGAGCTCTATGGTGCCAGGCAGTGAAACAGGGCCCACTAGAGGATGTTGGGCCCTCAGGCCACCCTCATGAAGTCTGTTTCTGATTGTTTTGTCAGAGACATTCACACTAGTGGCCTGCTGGAGGTAATTTTTTAGAGCTCTGGAAGTGTTCCTCCTTGTTCCTCCTTGCACAAGGAGCAGATACCGTTCCTGCTGATGGGTTAAGGACCTTCTACGGCTCTGTCCAGCTCTCCTAGAGTAACTGCCTGTCTCCTGGAATCTCCTCCATGCTCTTGAGACTGTGCTGGGAGATACAGCAAAACGTCTGGCAATGGCATCCTGGAGGAGTTGGACTGCCTGTAGGGTCCAATCTTTCATTTTCCCTGGGGGCTTTATGCCACAATGTACTAGTATTTACTGCATGTTAGCACATTATGGCATACTTACCTGTCAAATAATGCCCTCCAGCACTGGGGTGTTGGCTTTCTGCTGTCACAGGCACTTTCATCTAGTGGTGCAACAAAATGAAAATTCTGGACCAAATCTGAAAATTCAAAATGCACTTGGCTGAAATAGACAGTTTTTAAATATATATATTTATATATAATATTGTAGTCAATTCAGCTGTTTAATTAATATCATGAATTTAAATTAATATTAAATTTAAAAAATACATTTCCGTAACATAAAATAACTTTTATTGAAAGTCACACAAGAAAATTGGACAGAAAATAAAATGAAATATGTATATAATGAAAAAAAAACTAAAAAAACTAGAGGCTTTTTTTGACATTGAAGTTAATGGGACGTGATTTAAATCTTAAATCAATGGGACTCAATTTTGATTTGAAGTAAATGGGACACAATTTTTCATTAAAGTCATTTAGGGGCTGTTTTGCATTGAAGTCAGTGGGACGTGATTTTGCATTGAAGTCAATGGGACATGATTTTGCATTGAAGTTGGGCAGCACAGTGGCTAAATGGTTAGCACTTCCGCCTGGCAGTACTAGGGTCGTTGGTTCGAATCCCAGCCATGGCACCACCTGCCTGGAGTTTGCATGTTCTCCCTGAGCCTGTGTGGGTTTCCTCCGGGTACTCCGGTTTCCTCCCACACTCCAAAGACATGCTGGTAGGTTTATTGGATCTTGTCTAAATTGGCCCTAATATGTGTATGAATGTGAGTTAGGGACTTTAGATTGTACACCCCTTGAGGGTTAGGGACTGATGTGAATGTACAATAAAAAAGTAAAGTGCTGCGTAAATTGACGGCGCTATATAAGTACCTATAATAAATAAGTCAGTGTGACACAATTTTGCATTGAAGTCAAAGGCATGTGATTTTGCATTGCAGTCAGTAGGAAGCGATTTTGCATTGATCTCAATGGGACACGATTTTGCATTGACGTCAATGGGCCGTGATTTTGTATTGACGTCGATGGGACATTATTATACATTGAAGTCAATTATTGTTATTGGCAACTTTTTTTTTTTGCTATTGACAAAACGCGGATAACCCTATTTTAAGCAGCCAAAATATAGATGCATCACTACTTTTATCTTCTCTCCCAGTCTTCCTTTCTTCTTTGGTCTGTTCATGTCCATGATGACATCACTCCCGCGCATGCTTGTGGGAGTCACATTATCATGGCACAGAGGGGTTGCCGTAAGTGTATGCTCATCTTTGCATGCAAGGCTCAGGGTACGCTACAGCTGACAGGCAGGGAGAAACATTACCAACAGGGTTTCTTCTGTTATAGGAACCCTACCTTTCTGAGTTTATTTTTTAATTTCAATTGATCAAAATGAATGTTCTTTTTCTAAGGTAACCTGAAGAGTCTTTATTGGCAGTGGGTTTTTTTGGATGGCTCCAGCAGTTCACAGAGTGATTTTACTAGTAGGAACCAGGGGCGGACTGACCATTTGGAAACTCGGGCACTGCCCGAGGGCCCGGGGTCAGTAGGGGGCCCCAAAGGGTGCCCCTGGTACCTTTTTCATAGGCTTTTTTGAGTTTGGGCAAGGACACAGGGGCCCCATGATCCCCTATTGCCCGGAGGCCCCATGAGTTGTCAGTCCGCCCCTGGGTGGAACTATTGTGTCTTGCAAAGGGGAAGTTTGGGGCTCTCTGAGTCACAGGAGCATGTTCTGGTCTTCGTACTCTCTGTTAAGTAATGACTTACATTTGAAGTTTGTACATTTTGCCTCTATTTCCTTACATTGATGCACAATTTTTTGATTTCAGGTACTGGCCAGAAATCGATACTCATCTAAGGAAAGCAGTTTATGAAAGACATGTATCTGTCCGACTGTTGATAAGCTGCTGGGAAAATTCGAAACCACCTATGTTCCCCTTCTTGAGCTCACTGGCTGCTCTGAATAGTAGCAAGCCCCATTACAATGTAGAAGTGGTATGTCAATCCAGGAAGGGAGGGGTGTTGTAATGTGACAGCAAGGAGTGATGCTGATAAGGCAGCAACTGCCTTTGTTGTTTGTGTGATGTGGTTTTTTAAGCTGATACATGAGCAAACCACTTCAGCTCTCATGCTTGTACACACTCTATGGACCAGTGTTGTTTTTATACAGGCGTACCTCGGTTTACAAACGCCTCGGTTAACATAATTTTCAGTTTACAAATGAAAATCCATTGAAAATAATGCCTCGGTTTACAAATTTTTTTTGCAATACGAACGGATTAATTGGTTTAAAATGCATTTACAATTTTTTTTTTTAATCATATCCCTGTACAGTACTATGCCTTTAAAGTGCACTTTATAAAGAGTTATGAACAGATAAGACTTTTTTTGACTTTTTTTTGACCTCCGGAATGGATTAATTGGTTTTCAATGCATTTACAAATTTATTTTTATTCATGTCCATGTACAGTATTTATGCCTTTAAAGTGCACTTTATAAAGAGTTTTGAACAGATAAGACTTTTTTTTTACTTTTTTCTGACCTCCAGAACGGATTAATTGGTTTTAAATGCATTCCTATGGGAAACTGCCATACAAAAAGTCACGCAGAACGCATTAAATTCGTAAACCGAGGTATGCCTGTATTTCTGCTATGGGTCGTTTTTTTCGGCAAGGTTAGACAAATTTTTGTCTGTTTAATGTGCATTGCACTTCCTTGTGCACCTTACTAAAAAGGCTAGTTCTAAATTGGGGCAGTTGCCATCTTTTTGCATAGCATGTTCACTGGATTTGGCATTTGGGACACAGTGGATGCCTTCAGCTGCCATTGTGCTCTTGCTGGGCTTTTGTGTTCCTGTGTCTTTTGAGGAGTGGGCTTTCTCCAGGCCAACCTGCCTTTCTTTTTTTCACTGCTATAAATGTTCCAACTTGGAGACTCAAAAATATAGAGATAGGACCGCAGTATACAGAGGAGCCTTAGTGTAGGCACTGCGGCTTCCACATATATTTGCAAATGTGAGCAACTAAACCCTCTTGTTTTGTTGTGAATTGTTAGACAGGATTAATTTGGGGTTTTTTTTGCAGGCTAGCTGGTAAGTGTGCTGGGAAATGTCTGCTTGTGATGTGCATTGCCCTTCCATGTGCACCTTACTGCAAAGGCTAGGTATAAATTGGGGTGGTTGCCATCTTTTTGTATTATGCCCCCTGTGAACCAGAGCAATTTTTTTCTGCAATGGTCCGGTTTATTCAGCAATTGTCATTAATTAAATCTGAGGTCCCGATTTGGATTCTATTGCATAGTTATATAGTTCCAGCTTGTGTGCATATTCCATACCAGTGGGACTGCTGTGGAAGTAGAGAATCACTGTAGTAGGCGCCCCTGCTATAGTGACCGCTATCCTATGGGTCCTGTGTCAAGGAGCTGCCCTGCTGCATAGTAACCACAGGGGAATGCTCACTCTGCACATACAATGCAAGTGTACAATCCAAACGCACACGTTCCTGCGTTAAAAATGGCTGTGTGTATAAATGGGTGCTGCAGCGACCGTTGGCTGGAACCGAACAAAATCAGCAAGGAAAAATGTCACCAGCACACCAAGGATCACCAATATGGGTCCAAAAGTTTTAATGAACGATCACATAGTTACAGCAAGGCAACGTTTCGGAGTCTCGCAGGACCCCTTCATCAGGCATGTGACCCACCCCTAGGGTTAGGGTTAGCTGGCCTGATGAAGGGGTCCTGCGAGACTCTGAAATGTTGCCTTGCTGTTACTATGTGATCGTTTATTAAAACCTTTGGACCCATATTGGTGATCCTCGTTGTGCTGGTGACATTTTTCATTGCTCACTCTGCACAGACGCCTATAACAGAACGCCTTGCGTTTTTCTCAGGGAATGCAACGCATATTCTGGATGAGGATGTGATCATGACATAACCAACCTTTGATATATTGTAAACTGTCCGTGACTTTATTTTTTTTTGTACCATGGTTTGAAATTAGTTTTTGTTTTCCAGAACATTTTTGTGGTTCCTGTATCCCCAGAACAGAAACCCATCCCCTATTCAAGAGTTAATCACAACAAGTATATGGTGACTGACAGAGTGGCCTATATAGGTATGTATGCCTAGCAAAATTTATCACTGCCAGGGTAAATATGTTCATCAATGAAGGCACAAATTTAGGTTGAATACTGTATGTGTTTGTTGATTTAGAAATACAGTACAGTAGTGTAGATGATTAAAGCACACATTTAAAGGCTTCTTTTATTAGTGGTAAAGGGGTCAGTCTACTCTGAATTGATACTTCTTATATTGGTGAAACTTATTTTATCTAGTGTCCTACTACTGTATATCAAATTCCAGTAGCTAGCGCTCTTTGTCATTTTTTTTCCTTCACTCTTCCACTTTGTACACTCCGCCCTTTATTATTCTGGTCCAGTACAAAATAAATACAAATTCTAAAACAGAGTGGAACTTATACTCATAAACATTGATGTAGCGCAACCATAAATCATTTATCCAGAAAAGTCCCAAATATTGAAAAGTCCATTCAGAAGTGAGTGTCCAACCACCAAGTGCCATGATATCACCACACTCCTAAATGCATATAGTCATAAAACGTACAATAGCACAACCATATATAATCATTAATCCAATGTGCTGAGATAATTCACATATCTTCCTATACATCAAATGCCACTTCATGTCTCCACCTTGTGTAGATAGTGAATGCTCAGCTTATAATATTGACCTCAATCATAAAACAAGGTCAAAATGCGCTTTTGCCCCTTCCTGGCCTATAATATTCACAGCTCCCCAGACTTCTTCCTTCCTATAAAAAAAGTACACTCAGTGCTATGATACAGGCATGGATATATCAAATCGAACCATCTCCTCCTCACCACTCATACTCTCCTGACCCACAGATGGCCGCAATAAAACATTAACCGGAGTGGCTCATACGCATTATGATTGTGTTCTGGGTTTTCGCAGAAGGAATGGATCCCACCGGCCACACTCATTTCTATATCTTTTAAAACAGGAATTGTTGTCATCAGAGGCGCCATCAGATGGAGTGGACAGCATCGGCTAGAGCAGCAATGGGCAAGCTATGGCCCGCTGGGCCCGGCGGACCTTTAAACCCGGCCCGCGGAGCGTGATCCAAAAAAAAAAACAGCCAGGGCAGGCAAACATTGGCTGTCAGGATGTGTGTAGGTGGGGCAGCGTGACGAACGTGAGGGGAGCTAGGCTATTCTCACAGTCCGTCCTGAAGACCGGAACGGCGCGGGAACACGGCGAGAGGAACGCGCGGAGCAAAGGTAAGTAAATTGACACAGGGGGGACTTGGCTTACTACTTGGGGGGGAATAGTACTATGGGGGATGAAATACTATATGATGAATTAATATGGGATGAATTACTATGGGGAATGAATTACTATAGGGGGGATGAATTACTATATGGGGGATGAATTACTAAAGCTGCCAATTTTTTTATGCTTTATTTTATTATGATGATGATTGTTATTAATATTATAGAGTGACATTAAGATCAGTTAGTACATGTACAAAATGGTAATCTTATTTGAATAGGTTGTTAAAGCCCAACTCTAGGCAAAATTTATCCCCCCAACCCCCCATCTGATCCACTTACTAGACACCTTTTGAAGCTTTTTGTAGTCTTCTAAATTCACCATTCGGGTCCCTCACTGGTACCATTTCCAGATGCCAGAGACTGGGTAATCCAGCACTGCAGATGTACTCATGCCAGCCAGTCCCCTTATGCTGATGCCCTCAACTGCAGACTCTCTTCTGCATCTTGAGAGCACCCTGGCACTGGACAGCCAATAGGAATCTCCGCATCACATAGGCCATGATGTGAACACCCGAAGAAGGACCCGCCTCCTGTAAATAGAAGAAAATAGACTGTGGACTGAAGCATCACACTACGTATGTAGACAATTAGCAGTTATTAGAAGGTGGAGGGTTGGTTGTGGAGGGAGAGCCTGGAGTTTAGCTTGAAAATATGATTAAAGGAAAAACAGATTTTTTTAGCTGTAGAGAGGGATTACATTATTTGTCCTGTTTACTGTTATCGCTAAAAGTAAATCCCAAATTTTGGTTTATCACCGGGATAGATATAGAGGGGAAATCTTTAAATGGGGACAGTAGTGACCTTAGAGACAACCAGGGATTTCCTCTTAGTTGCTGTGTTGGCTATGGGACAGGAAGTGAAGGGAATTCTTTCCAATGGGATACAGAGGGAAAAAAAAACTGAAAGGTGTTATAACTTTCCCTTAATTATTATTCTACAGGATTTATATAGCACCAACAGTTTGCTGGGCACTTTACAATATAAAGGGAGACAATACAGCAACAATACAGTTCAATACAAGAGGGTAAGAGGGCCCTGATCCTTGGAGCTTACAATCCGAGAGGGAGGGGCTGGTGGTACAAAAGGTAATAACTGTGGGGGATGAACTGATAGGAGGAATAGAAGATTCTGTTATTAGCTGAGGGCAGGATAGGCTTCCCTGAAGAGATAGGTTTTCAGAGATCACCTAAAAGTGGGCAGAGTAGGCAATAGTCTGATAGACTGGGGTAGAGAGTTCCAGAGGATGGGGGAGGCTCTGGAGAAGTCCTGGAGACGAGCATGGGAGGAGGAGAGCAGGAGGTTGAGCGAGGAGCGGAAGGGATGGTGTGGGTGATATTTGGAGACCAGATTGATGATGTAATTTGGGGCAGAGTTATAAATGGTTTTACATGTTATTGTTAATGTTTTGAATTTTATTCATTGGGCAATGGGAAGCCAGTGGAGGGATTGGCAGAGAGGGATGGCAGATATGGAACAGTTAGTAAGGTGGATGAGTCTGACAGCAGCATTCATGATAGACTGAAGAGGGGATAGCCTGCGATTAGGTAGGCCAATGAGGAGGGAGTTACAATAGTCAAGGCGAGATATAACCAGGAGTAAATAAGTTGCTTAGTGGTTTCCAAGGTTAGGAACGGGCGTATCTTGGAGATGTTGCGGAGATGAAGGCTACATGATTTGGATAGCGATTGGATTTGGGGCTGAAAGGACAGATGAGAGTTTAGGATTACACCTAGTACCCTGACATGAGGGGAGGGACTGATGATTGTATTATTGATCTTGATGGAGAAGTCAAGGGAGGGGGCATGGGCTGGAGGGAATAGTATGAGCTTGGTTTTAGAAAGATTGAGTTATCTATCCAAAATGGGGAAAACGGTTTTGCCTTTTATCCTACTTTAAGCAAGACTACCTCTTCTATCCCACAAGTTTCCTATTCCTTTAATCTAATGGGAAGCCTCATTACCCAAAAAAGGAGTTTGGGACCCAGGAGGGATGCGTTCAAGTGGGACAGGAAAAGCTCAGATTAGCACATAACTGCCTGAGCTGTTGAATGTCTGACATCTGAAAGTAACCTCTACTTATGTATCTTTCTTTTACGAAGTGTTAATGAAATTTTTCAAAGATGTAAAATTGCAGACATCAAATGATAATGGTATCAAAAGTAATAAGCGCCAGGGAGACAATAACAGGAGAAGAAAAAAAGCAAATGGGCCAAAATGCTTACAATTACAAAAGCAGTACAAAGGCAAACAGGCAGTGTTACTTTTGCGTCTTTCATCACAAGCTCAGTCTACAAGGGTGGTGTTGATAGTAGGGACCCTCCATATTTTCATGACAAAGGGGTGACATAAAAGGAATTTTCATGTTCTTGAAAATACAGTGAAATATGGCCATGTATGATTTTAATATTGTTATTGGTTGTCTGGCACTTGTGTTTTTTTTTCTCTTCCATTAATGATACTAAGGTTGAATCTATGACTTCTTCTTAGGAACCTCCAATTGGTCTAGAGACTATTTCTTCCACACAGCAGGATCGGCACTGGTGGTGAATCAGACCTGCGCCACCAACACCACAAACACAATGCAGAAACAGCTTCAAGATGTGTTCATGAGAGACTGGACTTCCAACTACAGCCACCCCATTAATACAATGATTGGATTCAAGGGAGAGTGCCTCTTCATGTGAGCTTTTTGGAGGTGATCAAGGCAACACCTAGGAACTCTGGCATACCTCCTTAGAGCAGTGACAACTAGAGATGAGCACATTGATCTGTTGAGTTTGGGATCCAACACATAGTGGACATTTGTCCGCTGCACTGACTCCAATGGGAATTTTAATTTAAAGTCGAACTTTATTTTTTAATACTGTTTTAGTGGTGTGGAAATGTGAAGGATTATATATAGTTTATCGATCTCTAGGTATTGGACTCCTTGCCTGTAAATGAAAGTTGAATCAAAAATGAAAGAAAACTATTTCCAGCTTTTTTAGAACAAAACTATTGTGAAAAAAAAAAAAAACATTCTCTCTCTTTTCCATTTGATGGATGTGTTTAAAAAAAAAAGCTATTGAAGGGAATCTTGGCCTTTTCTGTCCTCCGCTGGGTCTTTTTCTAAGACTGGAGGTTCCAGCTGAATGAGTATATTTTAAAGTGTATGAAAATCCTTAGGGCTGCCATACACAGGACAGATTTCAAAATGCAATCTGTGGGTGACCCTGTTAGCACCACCTAGATCAACAAAAGGTTGATTAAACAACTTTTGTTGAAGAAGCATGGGTGGAAAATTATTGGATGAGCAGTGCCCACATTCAATCAGATGCAGCCTTTGTTTGGGTATTCTGACAGCTGCTGGTGCCAGATGTCAGTATACAATAGCTGGCAGGGGTTCTTGTTGTGTACCATGGGAAGAGGAATCTGTTAAATTTCTTTCTTTCAGTCCACAGGCTGTACAAAAAAAAGTATGGCCAGTTTAAAGTGGAAGTAAAGGCAAAACGTAAATACAGGCATACCTCAGTTTACGAACTCCTCAGTTAATGTAATTTTCAGTTCACGAATGAAAATCCATTGAAAATAATGCTTCAGTTTATGATTTTTTTTTTTGCAATACGAACGGATTAATTGGTTTTCAAGGCATTTACAAATTTTTTTTTAATCATGTCCCTGTACAGTACTATGCCTTTAAAGTGCACTTTATAAAGAGTTTTGAAAAGATAAGACTTTTTTTTACTGTTTTCTGACCTCCGGAACAGATTAGATGGTTTTCAATGCATTTACGAATGCATTTTTAATTATGTCCCTGTACAGTATTTATGCCTTAAAAGTGCACTTTATAAAGAGTTTTGAACAGATAAAAGACTTTTTTTAAACTTTTTTCTGAAATCCGGAACGGATTAATTAGTTTTCAATGCATTCCTATGGGAAACCGCGTTTCTGAATTTTTCGCAATACGAAAAATCCAGCAAAATGCATTGAATTCGTAAACTGAGGTACACCTGTAACTATAAACCTACTCCCGCCCACATTTTAATGGATCTAACCCTGTAAAAAAAAAAAGATTACTATACGTACCTATTCTGCAGCCACTCCATTCTCAGGCTGAGCTGTCAGTGGCAGCTTCATTTTGTGGGAGAGGCGGTCCACAACGGAAGCCCCATAGTAAGTCTTTGGGTGACATCACTTCCCAGCCATTGTCAGCTGTCTCCTGCACACAGAGGGTGCCACTGAAGACTGGACCAGAGCGGCTGCAGAACAGATACATATAGCGATCTTTTCTTTACAGGGCTAGATAGATTATTTATTTCAGGTATTTATATAGCGCCATCAATTTATGCAGCACTTTACACATATATATTGTACATTCACATCAGTCCATAACCCTCAAGGGGTGTACAATCTATGGTCCCTAACTTACATTCATATACACACATATTAGGGACAAATTTAGACAGGATCCAATTACCCTACCAGCATGTCTTTGGAGTGTGGGAGGAAACCAGAGTACCCGGAGGAAACCCATGCAGGTACAGGGGAACATGCAAACTCCAGGCAAAGGGTGCCGTGGTTGGGATTTGAAAAACAACCCTAGTACTGCCAGGCAGAAGTGCTAACCATTTAGCCGCTGTGCTGCTTTTAGTATTAGAATGTGGCTGAGACTAGGTTTAGAGTTAGTTAGGATTTGCCTTTACTTCCACTTTAATCTATTTTTCAGTTTAAATGGCATCATGCCTGATTTGTATACACTTTTATTAAGCCAGTTCTTGTTTGGGGATCTGTTTAAAAATGTCTTACCTTTAGATCCCGCCAGTAACCACTCTTCTGTTAAAGGCTGACAACGCTTAGCTACTACCCTGCTGTTAGCAGCATCGTTGTCAGGTTCCATGTGCTCCCTGAATTTGTCATTGGGCTGTCTGTCTAATCAGCACATGCCTCCTGCAAACTAGAGGGGTTGCGGAACACCCAAATGACACATGGGCAGGTTATCAACACTGTGTCGTCTACCTGAAATAGGAAGTGCTGTTACTTGCAGGATCTCAGGTTTCGACATGACAAATGGCACAAATGACTTGCTTATTAAAACTGAGTACAGTGAGGCATGATGCCAATAGGCCCCTTTCACACAGGCAGAGCATTTGGGTCCATCTGTGCGTTTTTCAGACAGACCCGATCAGACCATCCATTGCCCTCTATGGAGCAGCGGATGCAAACGGACATGTGTCCGTTTACACCTGCCTGCATCTGATCCGCCAAAAACTGACAATGGGGGATCCATTTCGCATCCGTCTAGCAGATCTGATTGGATGACAGGTGGATGTAAACGGATAGGTGGCCCGTTTACATCTGATCGCCCATGGGCTGTGTCTGCATAAGCAGAGCGGACATGAACCTGTCATCCACCTGCTCAGCAGGGATCAGTGGACAGATCCCCCGCTGATCAGGTAGATCCACTGGTGGCCTTACAAAATTGGTTTTGGAATTACATACACTTTGATAGTGAAGCCTTGTACTAAATTAGGAACAACAGTTTTTATTCATTATTATTTTGTAATCCTTTTCAAGGCTGTTACATTAGGTGCTATCTTAGTATTGTACAGTTCCCTTCCTTGTATTTTAGGGCTCATGTACACTGCAGCTGATAAACTGACGTTCAGGAGCTTTTCTGCTTTCTTTTCAGCAGCCCCTGAACCCTCCCTAATGTTTTCCTATGTGTCCATGTACACATCGTCATTTACAGTCTTTTACAGGCAGTTGAGTTTACTGTCGTTTTTTTGAACGCACCAAACTTGCGTTCAGGAGTAGATTTTATCAGCGTTTCAAACGCCAAATGCTTGTAAACGCGGCTAACCGTGTTTATAAGCGTTTGTGTTTAGAAGCATTTTTTAACTGTTCCATATCCAGACGCTGTCTAGAGCCTTTTTTCATCATCAGAAATGCATACAAAGCGTTTTCCATGTATTCAAATGAACCCGGTACACTAGCGCAGTCAGTTCCAGGTTCCGCATGAAGGAAAGAATGGTAGAACATTGCTCATGATGAGATCCATAGTGAATACAACCAGAAAAGACAGGTCATCTCCACACATACTGCTCTCTCTGCTTCTGCTCTATTTCTCTCAAAATGTCTGAAATAGTTAATTTTTTACTGTTTTTCAGTGCATTCAGGGCATTATGGAAGGTCTCCTGAGGTTATCTTAAAAAAACTCTTCTAAACGTAAAAGCTCATAAATGTGCATAAACGCGGTATGCAAACGTGGCTAAACAGACGTTTTTTTAACCTACGTTTTCCAGCAATCAGTTTCCATCATTCAAAAGAGTTTTCCAAATGTCCCGTGTACATGTATAGAACAAACCTGCTTGTAGTGTCATGGGTGAACATTGTACAAAACAAGCAGTTCCTTATTAAAGTCACGGGTCATGCAGGTCCAATGTAAAAAAATAAAATTTACTCTCGTAATTTTGACAGAGCTGGTCTCCGTAAATAAAGTTTTACAGTTTGATTAAAGAATGCTTGTGTTCATATTTTGATTGTATTTTGATTGTATTATATATTTTATAAAGGTCAGACAGCAAGTAAAGGGCTCAATGTACAAAGGATTTGTACAGTGATTGTTTGCAAAGATGGCCGTTACTTCCAGTAACGGCCATTTATAACATAGGAAATAAATCCTGATATCAGTTTGAGAATTGTGAATGATACCAAGGAAATAATAAGTATGCTCACATCTACTAGCTTTACCAATCTGAAGCAAACCTGTGGGAAAAAATCCAAAGGAAACTGCTTCACTTTTTTTGCTAAGCACCCCCTGATGCTTAAAGTGGTATTAAACCAAAAATTTTATATATTGCAGTTTTCCAATCTTTAGATGTGTTGGCTGCATTAGTTTTCTTTTATTCAGCTTTTTTTCCTCAAACTTCTCACCTGGCCAGTAACACACCTGCTTTAATAGAGTGGATGAAGGAGCACATGGGGGCACAGCAAACAGCATTGTCAGTCTAGGTGGGGGAGGGAAGGGTTAAGCCTGGTACATATGGTAAGTTTTTTTTTTTCATTCGGCCTGGAAGTAAAAGCTGAGGAGCTCACCAAGAGTTCACTGCACTAATGATGTGATTTTCGTGCAGTGATCTCCCCACTGAGCTATTGCGTTCTGACTGGGATTGCCCTCCCCGCCAGAACACACCGGTCAGCGATTGCAGCCAGTGGCTGAAAGCGCTGATAGGATGCCGATCTGCTGCTGGTTTTCCAGCAAGCACGTTCAACGGACAATGACTTCTATTAAACAAGGACCTATACGCACGGGCCAGATATCGGCCGATATCTACCGGCTGATTGTGGCCAATATTTGGCCCGTGTGCGGCCAGTATTTGGCTTTAAATGTACTAGCAGATTGAAATACACTAATAAACTGAAGCCAAACCCCAGCTCACACTTTATAATCAGTTTCAGCAAACAGCCTTTTTTTTCTTTTAGTATAAAGACTTTACATGAATAAATATAAACAACTGATCATTGTAAGCACCCCTGCCAGTGTTAAATGTCCCACTGATACATCTGGAAGAGAACTTGTTCTTTTGTAAAACAACAGACTTACTGGCCAGATCACTTCTCCGCTGCTCTCATGCACATCGCTGGGTCGAGATGGGGCTCAGGTAAGTATTAGGGGGGGCTGGGGGGGATGTTGCACACAGAAGGT